ATTTTGCGCACACCATCGTTCGCCTTCCGCTTCTTCTCGGACTTCTTCTGACTTGCTTGTTCGACTGCCCTGCTCGGTCCTTTCTTCGCCTCCGTCGCCCTCGCCTCTTGTCTCCTTACCTTCTCTGTTTCTATCATGTTCGCGATGCAAACCCTCCATCCAAACTTCCTTACGTAGTTCGACAGCTTCTCGATATCAACCCCCAAGCACTCTTGACTGTCTCCCTTGGTCAATTTCACCCGGAAGTGTTCATGTTCTCTGCCTACTTGTCCCCTTGCTAGGCAGTGCAGTCCCTCCCTGTCACAACAGTTCTTGAACTCTATCCTCGTCATGTCCCTTGGAACCCCAAACAGCAGCAGCTCCAACTTATCTCCCTTCCACAATTTCTGCTTCCATCCTCCAAGCTTCTTCACCATCCTCATGATCTCTACGGCAACTGGACCGTGGCCACTTTTTTTTCGTGTTTTTTCAGGAAGGTACACGGAATACTCGGCCTTCCCAATCCGAGTGTCCGGCGGGGGTTGTGTTTCCTTTCAGTTATTTTGCCGGCTCACCGACGCTAAATAGCGCCTCCAACATAGGCTCGTAGTCTAGATCCAAGTTCACACCTCCTGACACAAGTACCCCAGTTTTGTGCCGGGGGGCGGGGGGCAGCACAATAGACCACACTTCCGGAGACAACTGCTGGACGATACCTTGCTTTCGCGGGCTCTGAGCAACAAAGGGGTGGCCGTGCTCTTGACGTTGGACTCTTAGGATCCAGTGATACCCCGGGTATTGCATATCTCGAGTACTCCACTTGGGCGAACAAAACAAACGCAATTTCCACCCCCTTCTTCCAAACATTTCCCGAAGCATTGGCGTCCTCCGCTACACATTTGACAACAAAACACTACGGGAAGAAGCTGTTGCAATGACGCCTCTCGCTCACCGCCAGTCGTCTCATTAAGGGCTTCGCCAACGCCCCGCTGGTCGTCCGTTAGAAGCCGGCGGTGCGCCATGAGCTCCAGCTCCCCGTCCGCGAGAGAGGAGACCCCTTGGGCACGGTCCGTCAAGACCGACAGCTGATTGGTCCGTGATGGCGCGATTTCGATTCCGCAGTGACCACGGGCATGACGAAGGTGGTGTGGTGACGACAGAAGGTGGTGTGGAAGGAACGGTGAGGGTTGGTATGGGGCTAGATGGCTGCCCATAGGCAAGACAATCGCAAGTGTTTATTTACTACACCGATCACTCAGAGGAACATGGCTTCTCAAAAGTTCTGGAACGGACGGGAAAGTGCGTAGACCGTTCTGTGATCAAGATCGTCAGGTGTCCAGAACTCGTCGCCCTCGAAGAGGCGATGATACTCCGGAGCCCCCTCAACGCAAGAAACAAAGCCGAATACTTTGCTGTGTCATTCGCCACCTCCTCTCCTCCGTTCCGAAGAATCCCAATGACCACCCACTTTCACGCACCGCGGACCAACTCTTCCGCCTTCGCCCCGACACTCGTAGCCCTTAGCTTAACTAACTCGCTCCACCAAAACAACGCCCATCCTCGGCACCCTGACCTTTAAACCTTAACCCTTAACCAGCGCCCTTCACCCACACCTAACTTCATCTCATCCTCGCTTAACACGAAACCGGCGCCCTTCGCCCACACTTACCTGCATCTCATCGCTTAACCCTTAACCAGCACCCTTCACCCACACCTTACTTCATCTCATCCTCGCTTAACACGAAACCAGCGCCCTTCACCCACACCTACCTGCATCTCATCCTCGTCGCCGCCGTCGTCCCCCTCATCCCTCAAGAAAACGGCCGTGGTGGCCGGGTAGTAGTTCCCCGCCACCGGCTGGGTGACGTCGAGGTCCCAAGTCGGCCGCTCGTTGCGGACACGCCTCTGGAACTCTCGACCGTTGGAGTCCGTGTAGAAGGTGCCCTTGGAGGCTAGCGACGGCGCCCAGAAGCGAGATATCACTTCCTTGCCCGCGGCACCTTAGGGTTCGGTGAGGAAAACAAAAAAATCCGGCGAGTAGGGAGTAAATGTGACAGAAAACAAGGGCAGGAGGTAGCTTGTTGTACCCCGATCAAAGCATCTTCGGAGCAATCTGGCTTGATTTGGATATGGCCTCTACAAAGGGCCACATCTCCCCGACGCCTGCCGAAGATGAATGACTTGAAAAAATAAAACAGCCGTGTTTCTTAGACGATGGCTACTTAAGGTCTCCGCAATCGTTGCACATGGTAACGGAACAAAAAAAAATCGAGTCGTCTCTGTCCACGCTCTGCGCGCAAGCTGGCGTTGTTCACAGACCGCACACGTCCACGAAACAGGTACCCAAGTTTCATACTGGATATCCTCCCCCCCCCCCCCCCCCCCCCCCCCCCCCCCCCCCCCCCCC